ATCCTATAAAGGTAAAATAATGCTTATGTTCTTTCAGTATTGTGATATTTGTTTATAGAGGGGAGGGCAGTCATCCTATAAAGACAAAATAATACTTATGTTCTTTCAGTATTGTGACATTTGTTTATAGAGGGGAGGGCAGTCATCCTATAAAGACAAAATAATACTTATGTTCTTTCAGTATTGTGATATTTGTTTATAGAGGGGAGGGCAGTCATCCTATAAAGATAAAATAATGCTTATGTTCTTTCAGTATTGTGACATTTGTTTATAGAGGGGAGGGCAGTCATCCTATAAAGACAAAATAATACTTATGTTCTTTCAGTATTGTGACATTTGCTTAGAAAAAGTGTTTACTTAGTTTTTCTACGGAAGGAACTTGTTCTATAAAAATAAAACTAATATTTGTGTATTCTTATTTAAAAACATGTTGAATTAACTGATGTTACACCAATTTAGCCCAACACCATATGCACTTCTGAGAAAAGAAATCATATGTTTATTCTGTAAATTGATTGTTTGTTTGTCGTGCAAAGCTACACGAGGGCTATCTGCGCTAGCAGTCCCTAATTCAGCGGCGAAAGAGTAGAGGAACTTTTAGGCTACTCTTTTACTGACAAATAATGGGATTGCCTGTCACTTTATAATACACTTTATTTCTGTGCTCCTTTAATTTAAATTTGTTAAAATATAAAATCTACGAGATAGTGTTTCACGTGGAATATAAATGACTACTTATCTTTTTTTTTTTTCAGAAGTCATTTGTCCTTACCTAGAAAACCCAGAAAATGGAAACGTTGTTTATACTGAGAGGACTTACAGAGCAAAGGCACAGTACACATGTGATGAAGGGTTTTTACTAAAGGGTCCAGAAGAAAGAAAATGCCAAGAGAACAAAACGTGGAGTGAGTTACAACCATCTTGTACAGGTTAGTAATGTTTCGTTGCAAATGTCACAGTATTATCATGCAATGAGTAATGAGTAAAGCAAAGTGATGCTGTTTGAGATGCACCTTGTGTATCCACAAACTTTCTTTAGTGTGAAGTAAATTTTCATTGGCCGTACATCCCAAGATGCTGAAATTGTTTGCAGTGATTCTAATATCTCAGTCTTGCAAGCAGTGACAAAGAATGACTGACTAATTATACAGTGTATTTTATGCAGTTTCTTTGATTCTTGAGCTCAAATAATGAACTATAGAGCCCGCATAGCCATGGTTACACCTTGGGCATGTAACTTTATAGATGATGTAAGAATGATACATTTTAGGGATCCTGTCTTTACATTTAAAATAATTACATATTGGTTTGAAAGTGGATAAATTTTGTTATCCAAAATTGCTTTAATCTTTTATGTCAATTATATTGCATGTTTGCTAGTAAAGGGTAAAATACAACAAACTATTTCTTTAGTTTCAACATGTTTATGGATTTTAGAAATGTACAGAGATTTTAAATAATGCTTGATAATAATACTATCAGTTATTGTACAGGAAAACTTTTTATTTGTAAAAAAAACCTTTATATTTTGTACTTTTTTCATGGAAACTAGAAAAGGAACTAACTATATTATAGACCCATGGAATTGAATTATAAATTGAATTCTTCTTAAATCTTCTTTTGATTCTATTGTTTCCCAACTCTATAGATACATCATTAGGCTACCTCATCTCCGGGCCCGGCATGAATCCCTGTCTCACCTTGGCTACCTGATCTCCGGACCCGGCATGGCCAGGTGGTTAGGGTGCTTGACTTGCAATCTGAGGGTCATGGGTTTGAATCCCTGTCTCACCTTGGCTACCTCATCTCCGGGCCCAGCATGGCCAGGTAGTTAGGGTGCTTGACTTGCTATCCGAGGGTCATGGGTTTGAATCCCTGTCTCACCGAACATGCTCGAACCTTTCTGCTTTGGGGCATTATAATGTGATGGTCAATCCCACTATTCCTTGGTGAAGAGTAGTCCAAGAGTTGGCAGTGGGTGGTTATGACTAGCTGCCTTCCCTCTAGTCTTACACTGCTAAATTATGGACGGCTATTGCAGATAGCCCTCGTGTACTTTGCATGAAATAAAAATACAACAACAACCTGATCTCAGGAATCCTATGGAACTAGTTCCTCTCCCATTCTTCATTCAATTACTTCTATTTGCTGTTCCTTCTCCCACTGGGTGGACCATCAAGACTCTTGGCAGTAACTCTTCCTTAGAATTAATTCTTGGCTCTGAAACGTTTAATGTCCCCCTTTTGTCCCTTAATCATCTATAGTTTCCCTTCACCAGTGACCCTTGGTTTGTGCAAGCTCTTTCTGGACGATTTCATGTGACTCTGGTTTTTTCCTCCCTTTGGTCACCATTCTCTTGTCTACCTAGACATTATAATTGGGTGTGTTTTGTCTATTTATTTTAGTTTTCACTTCCATCATTGATCTTGTAGGTTCTCCATATCCCTGGTGTATTTAATGACTCCGCTATGTGCTAGCAATTTTTTCATACATGTCTGAAAAAAAGGAGGCAAGACACAAGAAGAAACGAGCCAAGCCAAATGCCTATATATCATGTGGAACTGAACGCTGCATTCATTATGATTGGTGTCGTTGGATCATACCGAGTGCCCATTGTTGCCTCAGAGGAAATATTTACCCAAAATCCACATTGAGTAGGGAGGTATGAAAAGTAGGGATGCACGGGTACCCGACCAGATATTTGGGTATTGGACTACCCGATAATACCTGGCTCTGGCCGAGTGTTGAAGTTAGGCATCTAAGCCCTACAGTCAATAATTGGTTTAGTTTAAAAAAAAACGTGTTCTGAGCAACAGAAACTGACCACCCACTAAATGTTGGGGATTCAGAGAACAATATGGGTTAATAATAGGCATGACTTGGGAAGTGGATTTCTGGGGAAGGTGGGAGTTTTGAGGACAATACGGGTTAGGGTTTGAGAAGTTGGGGCGAGGCACTGAAAGTTGAAAGTAAAACTTGAATGTTCTGTTGGTGATTATTTGTTTAAATGTAATAAATGTCAATTTTGTTTTTGTTTCTAATATTTGTGTATGCTGTTTATTTTTTTAGGGGGCTAGGGGAGAACCTGGTCTCGGTTGACACCAGGCCCCAGCCGAAGTTTAGTGACCAGTTACCCGGACCTGGTATCCGGCCAAATTTTACTACCCATGCATCCCTAATGAAAAGTGTTAAACTCATCTGTTCCTGCTCAGTGATCATCATTGAGATGGGAATTTCCATCTCTAATGGATCTAGCCATTTCTGCACATTTTACAAATAAAATAAAAATAACAGAAAGCACCAGATGTAGCCATGCTTTTACACCTGTGTCATGCTTGCTGTCTTTAATGGTAGTAATCCATTGCAGTGTTTCTCAGTGGGAACCCAATTCAGGATGACAGTGGTCCATTCACACTCTACAGTGTTATGGAACCCAATTCAGGATGATTATGCCTGATGACAGTGGCCCGTTCACACTCTCCTGTATTATTCCCTATGTGTATTCCTTCTCTGTTGTTCTAGTGGAGCACAGGAGAACCCTTGCTGATGATGCCTTTACCTTAGTAAATGCCAGTTAACCCCACCCATCATTTGCAATGTAGGGCTTGGGTGTTAACTGGAAGTGTAGTAAAGGACACACCTTTGCAATACCTATTAAACAATTCATGATGGACGTATCCAACCAGGTGGGACTTGGATTTTCCTCAGGACACAGGGGAAGCCTTCTCCTCCTCTTGTTATAGTATGTAAGTATTTGTCCAAGATGAAATTGTCTAAAACCGTACTATACATTTTAATGTTCCACCCAGGCAACATTTAACCATCAGCAGTGGGTTTTCCTGATGTTCTTTGTTCTACTGTCTCAGTACAAAAAATATTGGCTGAAGAATATACCCTACTTGAGAAGGATGTCATCTCCAATAGGGTGCTGCCCTACTAGGTAACCCCTGGTATCATGGAAATTGCATCCCATAGGCTTTCCCTTTCTTTTGCTATTTCAGAAAATAACTCCTTTTTTTTTTTATAATTGATCAGTACCAGCCTCTCCACCATTTTCAATGTGGGATTTTAGTGCTCAGTAGTGCATAGAGATAAGTAACGTTTTTTTAAGTTAACACTTTCCTTACTTGAAAATGTATTTCAGATCGGTACTTACTTCTCTGCACCACTTCCCACTCTTCCTTCCTTCCTAATTCTGGTGCTTTTCATTTGTCTTATCAAGAATGAACTTATGATTATGTGCTAGTGTTCATGGGGATTATTATGTCATATGGCTAGTGCAATAAGCGTAAACATATTTAACGGGTGGGAATTTGTTGAAGACTTGTGGAATGCATAGGAAATTCTACAGTAGTTGCACACTAGATAATAGCTTTTAGTAGTGTAGAGGTAAGTACCTATCTAAAATACATTTTCAGCCTGAACCTTCCTGCCATTGTAAAGATTCTCAGTCGTCTGGGCTCCACATTGTCGTAAGCTTTTGGGCACACCAGATGGTGTATGTTCCCATTACCGAGCTTGTAGCTGTGGGGTGATGGTTTGTAGCATCCGAGATCCAGTAGAGGTTTCCTCCTACTTACAGGCTCCCCTTCCTCAGATCCTATCTCATCCATTTTACACAGATATGGGCTTGAGGTATTCACTAGGGTGTGAAAGAGTCTAGCTGTTCACCCACTCAAAGATAACATACACCTTTGCAACAGTGATATCATTTGGTTAGTGCACCAAACTTTGTCTTTGTCTTCTATTCTGTGTGATTTAACATTTTAGATAATGTTGTTTTTTTTTGATATTTCTTTGTTTTTTATTTCAGTTCAGTTGTTGTTCTGCATGCCCTTATTCTACCTCTTTGGAACTTTTGGCTTCCATATGCTCCTTAAAACATATTCCCTTTAGAAGAACTAAAGAAAGTCTAGAGATGAGAAAAAATGTAAGGTTGTTCACGATGAGCAAAACAATTAAACCTAGTTCCTCATACATGCTAGATGAGTGCTCTACTAACTAAGCTAAAATGTTAGTTAGTAGAGCTAATGTGTTAAACTTTTAACAGTTGCTTGTAAAGTGCTTTTTTCAAACCAAACAAACAAACATATCCTTCTTTGCTAGCCCAAATTATACATTATTTGTTATGTGTCATTGCAGGCAAGGCCTTTCACTCAGTATTGGAGTACTGGTTAAGAAAAAAATGTCTCAGTTTCAGCTTACTATCCAAGCTGTGTAGTGATGTACTTGACAAACTAATTCTTATACCTACTCCATGCACACAAAAAACTAGAAAAACATCACTTGTTAGTAGCCTTAGAATGGAACTATTTGTGTAATATATTTATGTATAAGGTTTTTTAGGCTGTTAGAATACTTACCTTACACAAATACTGTTTGTATCAGACATTTACAAAAGATCGAGTCATAATATATGAAAATAATCTCATTATGTATATAAAGCTTGTTCCCTTAGTTGGTGATAAGTATGATGCTACTTCACAATATAACTGATTGTAATTTAACTTTTATCTACCTGACGTGGTGCTACCTGTGAATCCATCAATTTCTTCATTTTTCCCTAGTTTCAGCCATGTGTTCTCGTATATATATATATATAACCTTACATATTGTGGGATGTCCACTATCTAAGCTGTTTTACTTCAGTTATCAGTAAGCACCTGTCCTTGTTGTTCATAGTGTTTATAAAATTTTACCATGGCTACATTGTGCCTTCGAAGTTCAAAATTGTAACTAGTGTTTCTATCTAATTTATAAATGTTGGTGATTTGGAAATTCTTTAAATGTAATTACTTGTTTAACTTTCTTTAAATTATAGTTTTTCGTATAATGTAGTTGCTGTGAAATTAATTTCCATAAAGAATTTCAAGGCTTTTGTTTTTCTTTTTAATTCTTCCACGAATATGACCTTGTAATTGGTTATTACCAGCTGTTGAGCCGTTATTTGTGACTGGAACTTTATTCTGCCTCTCCGGAGGTTCCTTAGTCAAATTATCATGATTGTGAAATCTTTTAATGTCATAGGTCATTTGATATTTGAGGGTTTTACTTCATTCTTCTATACTCATAAAAGTTTGTGGTGGATGGAATGTTTGTCAGGGAATTATTCTGATTTAAGATATCTTAAGTTTATGTGTCTGCTTTACTTTATTTTTGTGAGTTTGAAGGTATGTCTTAGTTTAGCTCTGTACGGTCACATGCAGTGTTGAGATTTATTTAGTCTGTGAGTTTCCCTCAGTAGTGTTATATATATTCTGTTTGGTTAAGATTTAAACTTGTTCTTTGTAGCTATTCTTTTGAGTCAAAAACTTTCACTAATTAGAAACGATCCTGTCCTAAATTGCTACAGGTAGTGAAAGTTTTGAATCCTTCATTTCTTGTACTGACAGTTATTTTAACGTTATTTAAACCTGTGTCCTATAAATTATTTATGTTGATTATAGCCATAAATCCAGTTTGCCATGTCTGATAAACATTTGCCTCTGACAACTCCTTTTGTATCTTTGTTGCATTTTTTTGTTCTGTTTATGAAATTCCGTGAGAGACATTATCAAAACTGCTCCTTCACAGTTAACCTTTGAACTGCTTGTTGTTTTGTCATAGAGAGAGCAGTGGGTGGAACTTCAGAGTTGCATGTACAAAATATCTTTACTGTCTCGTGATATGACTACAATATCTGGAAGTATATATAGACACCAAAGCCACCTGGTGATGTAGAACTTAATTTTCCATGCTGCCATTTCCTTTGCTTCTTATGGAGACATCTTTTTTCATTTCATCCTCAATTTTCTACTTCTCCAATCACACATTCTTGCTTACGTTTGGATTCTAGCACGATAATAACGGAAGTAAGGTGTTGTTTATGAAATGAACATTTTAAAATGTAAATGATGTTCAAAAAAAGATTACATTCCTTCTCACTTACCCACACTGAGATGTTTTATGCCATGGGAACACCAAAGATAGGTAGTGACTGGTGATTGTATAAGACAATTCAGATAAAAGGCATGAAAGCATGTGATAAGACACATGAAAGTAATTTAGAAGTCGGATTATACGAGGATCCAGGTTGTGAACCGAGAAAACTAGTATAAAGAGAAGCTTTGAGTGTAAGTCTTGACAAGACGAAGAGAAATAAAACTGTAATAGCAGAAGTATCTTTTTGAATTTCAACTTATTTAATTTTAAAACTGGTAATTTTTTGTTTTTGCCTTACAAATACATAGTAAAACATATTAGAAACACCATAGAGGTACATATTTGGCATCATGACTGGTTCTCAGAATTAGGCTTAACTATTGCTTGCTGAGGTTAGGAAATACACAAGCAATTGTTAAGACTACTTTGGTTTTGAACACATTTTTGTTTTACACATGAAAAGTGTTTCTTTTTTGTCTGTATTTATGTATAATTATATTTCTTTTTCTACCAGAAATAACTTGTCCAACGCCAGTTCTTCCAGGAGGTCAAATTTATAACATCTTAGGGGATGACAACAAAGTTGGAAGTTTAGTTATCTATTCTTGTGGTAGAGGAAACCAGAGAACAGTTAAGTGTTTAAACAGTGGAGTCTGGAGTAGAGATGCTCCAATATGTGCAGGTAGGTTGAATTTATTTATGAACATTACAAAAAAATTCTAATTTTTTGGTTTCCAAAGCAAGTCATTTAAACCATGTTCTAGCATAACACACTGGAAATCCTAAATGTAATTATGATAGCAAAATATATAAATTTATTGTTAACCGTTATTGAAAGATGTACATTAAATACACATGCCTTTGTTGCCTCACCCAACGTTAATTCGGCTACCAGAAATATGTAGGTATTAAATAAATACTTGTTTTTGATGCAAGAAACTTGCAGCATTACATCTGCAGAGGATCACTATTTACTGTTTTTTTTTAATATGACTGGTATAAGTCGATTAAGATTGGTATAAGTCTATTAAAGACTGTTATAAATCTATTAAAGACCGGTATAAATCTATTAAAGACTGGTATAAATCTATTAAAGACTGGTATAAGTCTATTAAAGACTGGTATAAGTCTATTAAAGACTGGTATAAATCTATTAAAGACTGGTATAAGTCTATTAAAGACTGGTATAAATCTATTAAAGACTGGTATAAATCTATTAAAGACTGGTATAAGTCTATTAAAGACTGGTATAAGTCTATTAAAGACTGTATAAATCTATTAAAGACTGTTATAAATCTGTTAAAGACTGGTATAAGTCTATTAAAGACTAGTATAAGTCTATTAAAGACTGTAATAAATCTATTAAAGACTGGTATAAATCTATTAAAGACTGTAATAAATCTATTAAAGCCTAGTATAAGTCTATTAAAGAC